TGGTGTGCACTGTACCCGCCAACCTCAGCTGTGTATGGATGAAAAACGGTTCACACACGACTTACAACTGATGACGTCCGAACACTTCCGGAACAAGTGCTTCACTGACGACTGGTGTTCGAACCACAACGCTGTAAATGCTTCACCCACGTACTACAAATACAAATAATGGCCAACAGAACCTAAACACCTAACCTAACCTAACCTAACCTAACCTAACCTAACCTAACCTAACCTAACCTAACCTAACCTAACCTAACCTAACCTAACCTAACCTATGCCTATATATGTACAGCACGTTACTGTATAACAATATGCATTTATATGTGAGAAAATTCATGTTTTGAATGATTAAAATGTTAAAATTTATAAATGCGTGTTTGGGGTCGACCGCTGGATGGAATTGACCTGGTCTCAGGACGGGTTGATTCATTGTGAATATTCTATTTTTTCCTCTCTGTCAATCGCCCTAAGTATTTTACCCGTCTATGTCATGTCTCCCCTTCTCTCTCATCCTTTCTGGCGTCGTCACGTTTAGTTCCTTTAGTCTCCCTCATCCGTACGTAGCTCCTTTAGTCTCCCTCATCCGTACGTAGCTCCTTTAGTCTCCCTCATCCGTACGTAGTTCCTTTAGTCTCCCTCATCCGTACGTAGCTCCTTTAGTCTCCCTCATCCGTACGTAGCTCCTTTAGTCTCCCTCATCCGTACGTAGCTCCTTTAGTCTCCCTCATCCGTACGTAGCTCCTTTAGTCTCCCTCATCCGTACGTAGCTCCTTTAGTCTCCCTCATCCGTACGTAGCTCCTTTAGTCTCCCTCATCCGTACGTAGCTCCTTTAGTCTCCCTCATCCGTACGTAGCTCCTTTAGTCTCCCTCATCCGTACGTAGCTCCTTTAGTCTCCCTCATCCGTACGTAGCTCCTTTAGTCTCCCTCATCCGTACGTAGCTCCTTTAGTCTCCCTCATCCGTACGTAGCTCCTTTAGTCTCCCTCATCCGTACGTAGCTCCTTTAGTCTCCCTCATCCGTACGTAGCTCCTTTAGTCTCCCTCATCCGTACGTAGCTCCTTTAGTCTCCCTCATCCGTACGTAGCTCCTTTAGTTTCCCTCATCCGTACGTAGCTCCTTTAGTCTCCCTCATCCGTACGTAGCTCCTTTAGTCTCCCTCATCCGTACGTAGCTCCTTTAGTCTCCCTCATCCGTACGTAGCTCCTTTAGTCTCCCTCATCCGTACGTAGCTCCTTTAGTCTCCCTCATCCGTACGTAGCTCCTTTAGTCTCCCTCATCCGTACGTAGCTCCTTTAGTCTCCCTCATCCGTACGTAGCTCCTTTAGTCTCCCTCATCCGTACGTAGCTCCTTTAGTCTCCCTCATCCGTACGTAGCTCCTTTAGTCTCCCTCATCCGTACGTAGCTCCTTTAGTCTCCCTCATCCGTACGTAGCTCCTTTAGTCTCCCTCATCCGTACGTAGCTCCTTTAGTCTCCCTCATCCGTACGTAGCTCCTTTAGTCTCCCTCATCCGTACGTAGCTCCTTTAGTCTCCCTCATCCGTACGTAGCTCCTTTAGTCTCCCTCATCCGTACGTAGTTCCTTTAGTCGTAGCTCATCCCTCGCAGCTTTGGGACCAGTCTCGTTGCTAACTTCTGAACCTTTTCTACCTTTTATGTGTTTCTTTAGATGCTCCGCGATGGGGCATCATACTCTGTAACTGGTCTCACGTAGGTGGTGTACAGTGATCTTAATATCTCCTTCTTAAAGTTCCTGAAGGTTGTCCTGATTTTTGCCAGGGTCGAGATTTAGGTGTGTGTCATATCCTCTACCAAGTCCTTTTCTGTAGCCGTTATATGGAGGTGGCTCTCCATCATTGTGTGGTGTCCTTTTGGTCTCCTGGCACCTCATCCCATTTCCATCACCTTACACTTGCTGGCGTTGAACTCCAGCAGCCATTTCTCGAACCATCTCTGTGGCATGTTAAAGTCATTCATCTTGGAGAATCTTACAACCCTCATCTGTCTCAACCGTCCTCATTAGTATTGCATCGTCGGCAAATATTGACTTGCGAGACTCAACTCCTGTTAACATGTCATTTACATAAATGAGGAATAGTATGGGAGCCAGGAGTGATCCTTGAGGCACCCCGCTAGTTACTCTACACCAGTCCCACTCCTCGCCCCTCACTGTCACTCTCTGACACCTGTCTGTCAGGTAGTTCCTTACCCCATGATAGTGCGGTCTACTCCCGCCTGCCTCTCAAGTTTGTACTGGAATATCTTGTACTGGTACTGTATCAAAGGCTTTTTGGCAGTTCAGAAATACGTAATCTGCCCATCCTTCCCTGTCCTGCCTTATTTTGTTACTTTATCAGAGCTCCAGTAGTTGTGTCGGGCATGATGTCCCTTCCCTGAACCCATGTTGATGTTGGTTTACAGTTGTCTCAGTGTAACTAATCTAACCCTGATTGTTCTGTCAAGTATCTTGACGGTAATACTTGTCAGTGATACTAGTCTCTAGTTAAGTGCCTCTTCCCTATCTCCTTTCAGGAAGATTGGCACCACATTTGCCCTCTTCCAGCAACTGGGCAATTCTCCCGACATAAGCGACTCATTATAGATCTTTCATCGGCCGGGGAGCCGGTCGGCCGAGCGGACAGCACGCTAGACTTGTGATCCTGTGGTCCCGGGTTCGATCCCGGGCGCCGGCGAGAAACAATGGGCAGAGTTTCTTTCACCCTATGCCCCTGTTACCTAGCAGTAAAATAGGTACCTGGGTGTTAGTCAGCTGTCACGGGCTGCTTCCTGGGGGTGGAGGCCTGGTCGAGGACCGGGCCGCGGGGACACTAAAGCCCAGAAATCATCTCAAGATAACCTCAAGATAACCTCAAGATAACCTCATTGCCAGAGGCACACTGAGGGCCTGCGCTGCTTCTTTTAGTATCCACGGTAATACTTTGTCTGGTCCAACCGCTTTAGTTGCATCTAGAGTTGTCAACTGTTTCATTACCTCCTCTGCTGTCACCTCTATATCTGATAGTCTTTCATCTAGGGTAACCCCTTCCAACAATGGGAGCTGCTCAGGCTCGGTAGTGAACACTCCATGGAAACTGGCATTCAGTGCCTCGCAGATTTCCTTGTCACTTTCAGTATATGCCCCCTCTGTCTTCCTTAGTCTTCTCACTTGGTCGTTCACCGACATTTTTCTTCTTATATGACTGTGTAGTAACTTAGGTTGTTTTTTTCGCTTTGATCGCAATATCGTTCTCATAGTCCCTTTCCGATGTTCGTCTTATGTTAATGTTATCATTCCTAGCTCTGTTGCATCTGATCCTGTTGTCCTCTGTTCTTTGTCTTCTGTACTTCCTCCACTCCCGCCTGCTGGCCATTTTTGCTTCCTGACACTGTCTATTAAACCATGGGTTATTATATTCCCTCTAACTTTTCTCTTTACTGTTGGTATAAATCTCTCTTCGGCCTCCTGGCATTTCTGTATGACTAGGTCCATCATATCTTGGACTGTTTTTCCTCTAATTTTTCCCTCCCACTGCACTTCACCCTAATAGTCCCTTATCCTCCTGTAGTCCCCTTTCCTGTAGTCAACTCTCCTTTCCCAGATCTCTTGTCCCATGGTCACAAGTTTGAATTCCATCATGTAGTCAAAGACTAGGACACAATGGTCACTGGCTCAAAGTGGTGTGTGTGTGTGTGTGTGTGTGTGTGTGTGTGTGTGTGTGTGTGTGTGTGTGTGTGTGTGTGTGTGTGTGTGTGTGTGTGTGTGTGTGTGTGTGTGTGTGTTACAACAGCAGTAACTGGTAAAGGGAGGTGATAGAGACAAGGTAAGGGAGGAAAGTGGATGTCACAGATGTGAGGTCATAGGTCAGAAGTCAGAGGTCACAGGTCACAGGTCAGAGGTCACAGGTCACAGGTCAGAGTGGCTTCATGATGCAACCACACTCAACACTGCAACACCACAAGGTGGCCGGGGGACACATGCTCCTCCCTGTGTGTGTGATAGGCCTACATGCTCGGCCTACCCACTACACACACACACACACACACACACACACACACACACACACACACACACACACACACACACACACACACACACACATTAAATACATAAACTTTAAAAATATATAGAAGTGAAACAAATTATGCGTGTGAAATATATGAAGCAGACATAATAGAGGACAAATAAAAGTGGTTAATAAGGCGGGTCCCAGGAGCTAAGAGCTGCACTCAGCAGACACAAATAGTAAACACAGACACTCACACTCCAGTAATAGCTGACAGAGCCAAACTCTTCCCAGTAATGTTCAAGTGAAATACATCATTCATGAGAATACTTTAACATGAAGACCTTTGCAAGACCTCCCTTGCAATAGGCCTATAGTTTAGACGACCTGCACACGACCGCCCCCCCCCCTTGCAACAGGCCTACAGCTAAGCGTGGTTGACGTGCACGGTTGCAGAACATGACGACGGCTGACATTGCCTGACGGTCACCCATCCACCCGCCACCCACCTTAACCTCTCGAAGGATGTTTATTTTCTCAGCTAATTATTATATTTCCAGTAATGTCTTATCCCCTCATGGCCTGCTGGGAGCCAGATGGGCCTGTGGCCTGCTGGGAGCCAGATGTGCTTGTGGCCTGCTGAGAGCCAGATGGGCCTGTGGCCTGCTGGGAGCCAGATGTGCTTGTGGCCTGCTGAGAGCCAGATGGGCCTGTGGCCTGCTGGGAGCCAGATGTGCTTGTGGCCTGCTGAGAGCCAGATGGGCCTGTGGCCTGCTGGGAGCCAGATGTGCTTGTGGCCTGCTGAGAGCCAGATGGGCCTGTGGCCTGCTGGGAGCCAGATGTGCTTGTGGCCTGCTGAGAGCCAGATGGGCCTGTGGCCTGCTGGGAGCCAGATGTGCTTGTGGCCTGCTGGGAGCCAGATGGGCCTGTGGCCTGCTGGGAGCCAGATGGGCCTGTGGCCTGCTGAGAGCCAGATGGGCCTGTGGCCTGCTGTTAGCCAGATGGGCTTGTGGCCTGCTGAGAGCCAGATGGGCCTGTGGCCTGCTGGGAGCCAGATGGGCTTGTGGCCTGCTGAGAGCCAGATGGGCCTGTGGCCTGCTGGGAGCCAGATGGGCTTGTGGCCTGCTGGGAGCCAGATGGGCCTGTGGCCTGCTGGGAGCCAGATGGGCCTGTGGCCTGCTGGGAGCCAGATGTGCTTGTGGCCTGCTGGGAGCCAGATGGGCCTGTGGCCTGCTGGGAGCCAGATGGGCCTGTGGCCTGCTGGGAGCCAGATGTGCTTGTGGCCTGCTGGGAGCCAGATGTGCTTGTGGCCTGCTGGGAGCCAGATGGGCCTGTGGCCTGCTGGGAGCCAGATGTGCTTGTGGCCTGCTGGGAGCCAGATGTGCTTGTGGCCTGCTGGGAGCCAGATGCACATGTGGCCTGCTGGGAGCCAGATGCACTTGTGGCCTGCTGGGAGCCAGATGGGCTTGTGGCCTGCTGGGAGCCAGATGCACTTGTGGCCTGCTGGGAGCCAGATGCACATGTGGCCTGCTGGGAGCCAGATGCACATGTGGCCTGCTGGGAGCCAGATGCACTTGTGGCCTGCTGGGAGCCAGATGCACATGTGGCCTGCTGGGAGCCAGATGCACATGTGGCCTGCTGGGAGCCAGATGCACTTGTGGCCTGCTGGGAGCCAGATGGGCTTGTGGCCTGCTGGGAGCCAGATGTGCTTGTGGCCTGCTGGGAGCCAGATGCACTTTAGCCTGCTGGGAGCCAGATGCACATGTGGCCTGCTGGGAGCCAGATGCACTTGTGGCCTGCTGGGAGCCAGATGCACTTGTGGCCTGCTGGGAGCCAGATGCACATGTGGCCTGCTGGGAGCCAGATGCACTTGTGGCCTGCTGGGAGCCAGATGCACTTGTGGCCTGCTGGGAGCCGAACACAGACTCCTTATCCCTGACCCCATCTGGCCTGACACTGCCCCCTGACCCCTGCCACGCCCCCCTGACTCCTTATCCCTGACCCCATCTGGCCTGACACTGCCCCCCTGACCCCTGCCACGCCCCCCTGACTCCTTATCCCTGACCCCATCTGGCCTGACACTGCCGCCCTGACCCCGGCCACGCCCTCATCCACCTCCTAATCCCACACCTTCAATTTTTCTGTCAAAAATGTGATGATATTTATGTTCCTCCGCTCGCAGCGCCAATTTCCGCGCGGGGAAATCAGGGCTGGACGCAGCTGGGCGTCCGGGGCGGGTGCCATGGACGCACCTGGGGCCCGTTGACGCAGCTGGGGGCCCGTTGACGCAGCTGGGGGCCCGTGGACGCAGCTGGGGGCCCTCTGGTGGCCGCTGTCCACCTGAAGGGACTCCCACACACGGGCCATCTGCCAGGCCGCTCTGCTGTACCCCATATTGCGCGCCAATCTACCGCCCTTCAAGGCTCTGCTCTTGCGGCCAGTCTGCTGACTGCCCTCCCACGCAGCCCGATGCTCACTTCAATCTCCATTTCATCATTTCATGTGCCTTGCATCTGTTGTGTTCCTGCGGTGGTCCTGGTGGTCCTCCGGTGGTCTTGGTGGTCCTGGTGGTCCTGGTGGCCCTGGTGGTCCTCCGGTGGTCTTGGTGGTCTTGGTGGTCCTGGTGGTCCTGGTGGTCCTGGTGGTCTTGGTGGTCCTGTTGGTCCTGGTGGTCCTGGTGGTCCTGGTGGTCCTGGTGGTCCTGGTGGTCCTGGTGGTCCTGGTGGTCTTGGTGGTCCTCCGGTGGTCCTGGTGGTCCTGGTGGTCCTCCGGTGGTCCTGGTGGTCCTGGTGGTCCTGGTGGTCCTCCGGTGGTCCTCCGGTGGTCCTGGTGGTCCTGGTGGTCCTGGTGGTCCTCCGGTGGTCCTGGTGGTCTTGGTGGTCCTGGTGGTCTTGGTGGTCCTGGTGGTCCTGGTGGTCTTGGTGGTCCTCCGGTGGTCCTGGTGGTCCTGGTGGTCCTCCGGTGGTCCTGGTGGTCCTCCGGTGGTCCTCCGGTGGTCCTGGTGGTCCTGGTGGTCTTGGTGGTCCTGGTGGTCCTCCGGTGGTCCTCCGGTGGTCTTGGTGGTCCTGGTGGTCCTCCGGTGGTCCTGGTGGTCCTGGTGGTCCTCCGGTGGTCCTGGTGGTCCTGGTGGTCCTCCGGTGGTCCTGGTGGTCTTGGTGGTCCTGGTGGTCTTGGTGGTCCTGGTGGTCCTGGTGGTCCTGGTGGTCCTCCGGTGGTCCTGGTGGTCTTGGTGGTCCTGGTGGTCTTGGTGGTCCTGGTGGTCTGGTGGTCCTGGTGGTCCTGGTGGTCTTGGTGGTCCTGGTGGTCTTGGTGGTCCTGGTGGTCCTGGTGGTCCTGGTGGTCCTGGTGGTCTTGGTGGTCCTGGTGGTCCTGGTGGTCCTGGTGGTCTTGGTGGTCCTGGTGGTCCTGGTGGTCCTGGTGGTCCTGGTGGTCTTGGTGGTCCTGGTGGTCTTGGTGGTCCTGGTGGTCTTGGTGGTCCTGGTGGTCCTGGTGGTCCTGGTGGTCCTGGTGGTCCTCCGGTGGTCTTGGTGGTCCTGGTGGTCCTGGTGGTCCTGGTGGTCTTGGTGGTCCTGGTGGTCTTGGTGGTCCTGGTGGTCCTGGTGGTCCTGGTGGTCCTCCGGTGGTCCTGGTGGTCCTGGTGGTCCTGGTGGTCCTGGTGGTCCTGGTAGTCCTGGTGGTCCTGGTGGTCCTGGTGGTCCTGGTGGTCCTGGTGGTCCTGGTGGTCCTGGTGGTCCTGGTGGTCCTGGTGGTCCTGGTGGTCCTGGTGGTCTTGGTGGTCCTGGTGGTCTTGGTGGTCCTGGTGGTCCTGGTGGTCTTGGTGGTCCTGGTGGTCCTGGTGGTCCTGGTGGTCCTGGTCGTCCTGGTAGTCCTGGGGGTCATTCAGCGCCGCCCTTCCAGGTTCGTGACCCTCTGGGGCCAGTTCGTACCTGGGGCTCTTAACATACATGGATTTGTTTACTATGTGGGTGGTTCCTCTCCCCTTGGTGCCAGCCCCTGGTGGTGGGGACCAGCCCCTGGTGGTGTGGACCAGCCCCTGGTGGTGGGGACCAGCCCCTGGTGGTGGGGACCAGCCCCTGGTGGTGTGGACCAGCCCCTGGTGGTGGGGACCAGCCCCTGGTGGTGTGGACCAGCCCCTGGTGGTGGGGACCAGCCCCTGGTGGTGTGGACCAGCCCCTGGTGGTGGGGACCAGCCCCTGGTGGTGTGGACCAGCCCCTGGTGGTGTGGACCAGCCCCTGGTGGTGTGGATCAGCCCCTGGTGGTGGGGACCAGCCCCTGGTGGTGTGGACCAGCCCTGGTGGTGTAGACCAGCCCCTGGTGGTGGGGACCAGCCCCAGGTGGTGTGGACCAGCCCCTGGTGGTGTGGACCAGCCCCTGGTGGTGTGGACCAGCCCCTGGTGGTGGGGACCAGCCCCTGGTGGTGTGGACCAGCCCCTGGTGGTGGGGACCAGCCCCTGGTGGTGTGGACCAGCCCTGGTGGTGTGGGACCAGCCCCTGGTGGTGGGGACCAGCCCCTGGTGGTGGGGACCAGCCCCTGGTGGTGTGGACCAGCCCCTGGTGGTGTGGACCAGCCCCTGGTGGTGTGGACCAGCCCCTGGTGGTGTGGACCAGCCCCTGGTGGTGTGGACCAGCCCCTGGTGGTGTGGACCAGCCCCTGGTGGTGGGACCAGCCCCTGGTGGTGTGGACCAGCCCCTGGTGGTGTGGACCAGCCCCTGGTGGTGTGGACCAGCCCCTGGTGGTGGGGACCAGCCCCTGGTGGTGTGGACCAGCCCCTGGTGGTGGGGACCAGCCCCTGGTGGTGTGGACCAGCCCCTGGTGGTGGGGACCAGCCCCTGGTGGTGGGGACCAGCCCCTGGTGGTGTGGACCAGCCCCTGGTGGTGGGGACCAGCCCCTGGTGGTGTGGACCAGCCCCTGGTGGTGTGGACCAGCCCCTGGTGGTGTGGACCAGCCCCTGGTGGTGGGGACCAGCCCCTGGTGGTGTGGACCAGCCCCTGGTGGTGTGGACCAGCCCCTGGTGGTGGGGACCAGCCCCTGGTGGTGGGGACCAGCCCCTGGTGGTGTGGACCAGCCCCTGGTGGTGTGGACCAGCCCCTGGTGGTGTGGACCAGCCCCTGGTGGTGTGGACCAGCCCCTGGTGGTGTGGACCAGCCCCTGGTGGTGTGGACCAGCCCCTGGTGGTGTGGACCAGCCCCTGGTGGTGGGGACCAGCCCCTGGTGGTGTGGACCAGCCCCTGGTGGTGTGGACCAGCCCCTGGTGGTGTGGACCAGCCCCTGGTAGTGTGGACCAGCCCCTGGTGGTGGGGACCAGCCCCTGGTGGTGTGGACCAGCCCCTGGTGGTGGGGACCAGCCCCTGGTGGTGGGGACCAGCCCTGGTGGTGTGGACCAGCCCCTGGTGGTGGGGACCAGCCCCTGGTGGTGTGGACCAGCCCCTGGTGGTGTGGACCAGCCCCTACTGGTGGTGGACCTGCCCCTGGTGGTGTGGACCAGCCCCTGGTGGTGTGGACCAGCCCCTGGTGGTGTGGACCAGCCCCTACTGGTGTGGACCAGCCCCTGGTGGTGGGGACCAGCCCCTGGTGGTGTGGACCAGCCCCTGGTGGTGGGGACCAGCCCCTGGTGGTGTGGACCAGCCCCTGGTGGTGGGGACCAGCCCCAGGTGGTGTGGACCAGCCCCTGGTGGTGGGGACCAGCCCCTGGTGGTGTGGACCAGCCCCTGGTGGTGTGGACCAGCCCCTGGTGGTGTGGACCAGCCCCTGGTGGTGGGGACCAGCCCCTACTGGTGTGGACCAGCCCCTGGTGGTGTGGACCAGCCCCCCTGGTGGTGTGGACCAGCCCCTGGTGGTGGGGACCAGCCCCAGGTGGTGTGGACCAGCCCCTGGTGGTGGGGACCAGCCCTGGTGGTGTGGACCAGCCCTGGTGGTGTGGACCAGCCCCTGGTGGTGTGGACCAGCCCCTACTGGTGTGGACCAGCCCCTGGTGGTGGGGACCAGCCCCTGGTGGTGTGGACCAGCCCTGGTGGTGGGGACCAGCCCCTGGTGGTGTGGACCAGCCCCTGGTGGTGGGGACCAGCCCCAGGTGGTGTGGACCAGCCCCTGGTGGTGGGGACCAGCCCTGGTGGTGTGGACCAGCCCCTGGTGGTGTGGACCAGCCCTGGTGGTGTGGACCAGCCCCTGGTAGTGGGGACCAGCCCCTACTGGTGTGGACCAGCCCCTGGTGGTGTGGACCAGCCCCTGGTGGTGTGGACCAGCCCCTGGTGGTGGGGACCAGCCCCAGGTGGTGTGGACCAGCCCCTGGTGGTGGGGACCAGCCCCTGGTGGTGTGGACCAGCCCCTGGTGGTGTGGACCAGCCCCTGGTGGTGTGGACCAGCCCCTACTGGTGTGGACCAGCCCCTGGTGGTGTGGACCAGCCCCTGGTGGTGTGGACCAGCCCCTGGTGGTGTGGACCAGCCCCTGGTGGTGTGGACCAGCCCCTGGTGGTGGGGACCAGCCCCTGGTGGTGGGTGGACCAGCCCCTACTGGTGTGGACCAGCCCCTGGTGGTGGGGACCAGCCCCTGGTGGTGTGGACCAGCCCCTGGTGGTGTGGACCAGCCCCTGGTGGTGTGGACCAGCCCCTGGTGGTGGGGACCAGCCCCTGGTGGTGTGGACCAGCCCCCTGGTGGTGTGGACCAGCCCCTGGTGGTGTGGACCAGCCCCTGGTGGTGTGGACCAGCCCCTACTGGTGTGGACCAGCCCCTGGTGGTGTGGACCAGCCCCTGGTGGTGTGGACCAGCCCCTGGTGGTGTGGACCAGCCCCTACTGGTGTGGACCAGCCCCTGGTGGCAGAGAGCGGCCAGGGACGCCGCTAGGGGCGCGGGCCGCCGTGGCGGAGACGGGCGGCCTGTGCCTCGCTGGGGTATATTCATTGATCTTCAATAGTGTCTCACACTTCCCAGTTTATTCTTCTTGGCCGAGGCGTTCTTGGCCGAGGCGTTCTTGGCCGAGTGCAACAGGCCCATCACCGGCCGTGCAACAGGCCCATCACCGGCCGGGCAACGGGTCCATCACCGGCCGGGCAACAGGCCCATCACCGGCCGGGTAACAGGCCCATCACCGGCCGTGCAACAGGCCCATCACCGGCCGGGCAACGGGTCCATCACCGGCCGTGCAACGGGCCCATCACCGGCCGTGCAACGGGTCCATCACCGGCCGGGCAACAGGCTCATCACCGGCCGGGTAACAGGCCCATCACCGGCCGTGCAACAGGCCCATCACCGGCCGGGCAACGGGTCCATCACCGGCCGTGCAACGGGCCCATCACCGGCCGTGCAACAGGCCCATACCGGCCGTGCAACGGGCCCATCACCGGCCGTGCAACAGGCCCATCACCGGCCGGGCAACAGGCCCATCACCGGCCGT